ATATATTTTACTATATATCATACTTATGTATCCGGAGATAAATCAACGTCCAGCTCTTTAAAACTGGTAGAGGATACACACCATGGGTGGTACCCACGTCCAATAAAACTATTTCAAAAGCATGAAAACTTGAAATTTTCACCCCTACGTATATATTCCCGAATTGTGATCGTGGCTTCGCTAAATGTGTACACATTTTTGGTTTCAAAAGGAAATAGCAAATCAGAGAACGTAAAATTTGATCAATTCAAATTCGTCGTCATAAATTTATCGCTCATAATAAGGAGGCTGTTTAATACCTTTTTTGGGTGTACCAGGTGCAACCACATGGTTTTTTTGATGAGATTCTTTTCTTAGCAGGTGTCGTAGTTTCATTGGTCAATTTCTGGAAGATTTTAACGTGTATACTGCTTATTAGACTGGAGGACTCTATTTTTACGCAGAAAGTGATACGCAAGGTTTGTTTGTCCGGTCACATCACGTGAAGATCGTCCAATTCAAATCACGTTGTGGCAAAAGTACAAAAGTATCAATTTTAACACACCCATATATACAGTCGACCCTGGATCTGCCTATGCCGAAGTCGGGATATAGCGAACCAGATCAGGCAGAACGGATTTTTTATATTAATTTACCAAACTTAAATGGTAAATTTTTATATACCGCATCCGAACTCCTTTTGACTATATATATATATGTATATATAATTCGATATAACGAACTATCATATGACTTTATACCTGCTAAGTCATAAGATAAGAAATATTCTGAGAAGAAAATGAATGAACATAACGGTCAAATGTAATGTCAAAAAATCTTCAGAGTAATGAGGGATCTGTAAATAACTACTTCAAGAGTACCACCAAAAATTTTCGGATACACAAAGTTTCGACCAATAGAATTAGCTGCACATGTAGATCGCTACATAAATTTTAATACTTTTAACAACGATATCTCGACAACCGCCAAACAAAATTTGATGAAATTTTTTTATTTTAATTTAACAACTATGTGAAATCAAAATAAAAAAGGTACATCAAATTTGGATTGATGGTAGTCGAGATATCTTCATTTAAAGTTTAGAAAATTCTATACGACTTGAATTTTAATAGTTTAATTTGCTGATAAACTTTAAACGAAGATATCTCGCCAATCTCCAAACCGAATT